CTCTCTCACACACACACACACACACACACACACACACACACACACACACACACACACACACACTAACAAACACACACACACACACACACACACACACACACACACACACACACACACACACACACACACACACAGAGAGAGAAGGCCAAGACAGGTGCACACCTGCAATTTCCACACTTGTGTTAGCCCCGGGTCACCCTGTATGTAATGTAAATGTGTAGGAGGGGTGTACAGTGGGTGGTCGTTGAAAATGTGTTCTGATATATGTTCTTCACAGAAAATGAGCCGAGGCCATTGAGAGTGGGTTTGAAAAAATAATTTATCATATCATTTTCCTTTAGCTAAATAATGAAAATGGTTCCCACAGACCCGAACACCATACAAGGGTTAAATCTTTACAAACTCATTTCGGTGGATTATCCTGCCTGCTAACTCACCAAGAGGAATTTAATTTCAAAAAAAGGCTTGTAATGATAAAATATAAGGGTTTAAAATCATGATGAAAAGTGTCACAAATCGAGTTCTGTTACATAGTACAGTTTGTACATTGGGGTAGGAGAGATTCAACTTTGAATTGTGTCTGGATTTGGTTGTGGCTTTTTTTATATGAATAACATCTATATCAGAGCTCTTTGTGTCACCTTTCATTCATTTTATGAGTTTATCAAACACATTGACAGAGCTGAGCAAGTAGCTTGATCGTTAGTTCCCTCAGTGAAAATAAAATCCATCGCATAAAACACATCTGAGCGGATTTTTCCCACAATTCTTGATCCATATATCGTTCACCGCTTGATGTCAAACATCTTGGGAGGCCTTGATCCTGACTGACAAGGCGCTTCATTTGCATACACAAATTGATCAGCACCATATGCACAGAGATTAATAATTTGTGTCACAGGGCTTGGTGCTAGTGTTACGATAGAAGCGTCTTGCAGTGGAGCACAAAGATCCTTTTGTGTTGTCTAAAAAGTGTTCAGTGGCTGGCTGCGAGCCATGTGTCTGATGGACAACTTTGTGCGGTTCCAGAAATCTGTCAGGCTGGATTGAACCAATCTATTGTGGTATTATACCTGGCATGCAGAGCACATTTCTCCCACTACTGCTAAACATCTTTTTTCACTGCTCAGTAAACTGTTTTCAATCCCGAAGTGATGTGCAGTTCTTTAGCTGAAGTCAGGGAAGATTAATGGACAATACTTCATATCAGTGACAGGATAAATCTCTTGGAAGAAGAAGAAGTAGATCTGCTGTCAAAGTGTATAAGACTTTAATGTAACTCATGAAGATTAAACAAAAATGGGATTTGTGAATTGTGTGTGTGCAAAGTGAATTGATGTTGAATTTACAGTCATGTTGATGATGGTAGCAGATGGTAGCAGATGGTAACAGATGGTAACGGATGGGGAAGAAATACAAATAAGGGGAGGATTATGGCTGTTTTTTGTAAATCCTGATGTAAAAGTACTTAAGGTTAAGGGGGGTTATACAATAAATAGATTTTCCTTCTATAATGTTTCTAACAATATAAAGGTTATACTTTTGTTATCCTGTTGACAGGTATCCCAAACCAATAGCAAAGTTGTCTTAATGCTTTTCAATTTGTTTTTGTTCAGTCCTGATCCTGGTCTTGTCTTACAGTAATAGATGCATAAGTGGGTCTTTTTTGACTGTATTACATTACATTACATTACATTGCATTTAGCTGATGCTTTTATCCAAACCAATTTACAATAAGTGCATTCGACTAAGAAGATACAAACTTGAAGAAAACAGAATCATATAAGTACATCAGTTTTCATAGAGCCAAAACATTTCAAGTGCCAAAACATTTCAAGTGCTACTCAGTATCTTTGTAATTCCATTTTTTTTATCATTTCATATTCCAGCTATTCCTCAAAAAACATGTTTTGGATATCATGCCATTCTAATTTTAAATTTAAATTGTATACATTTTAAGAAATTGTAGTTTTCGTATTACTACCCCAGGCTTCCATAAGTGGGTCTTTTTTGACCCGGTGAGTTGGTTTTCTTGAAGTATCTTTGTAATTACATTTTTTTATCCTTTCATATTCCAGCTATTCCTCAAAAAAACATGTTTTGGATATCGTGCCATTCAAAATTTAAATTGTTTACATTTTAAGAAATTGTAGTTTTCGTATTACTACCCCAAGCTTCCATAAGTGGGTCAAAAATGACCCGCGTGCATTTTCTATGGAATTTCTTTTTTTTTCAAAATGTAAAAAATAATTCTAAAATTATAAATAGTGAAAAATTGAATNGTGTGTGTGTGTCGTGTGTGTGTGTGTCGTGTCGTGTGTGTGTGTGTGTGTGTGTGTGTGTGTGTGTGTGTGTGTGTGTGTGTGTGTGTGTGTGTGTGTGTGTGTGTGTGTGTGTGTGTGTGTGTGTATGCATTCTGTGTTAGATTAAGCCAGGTCAAGATTAATATTATGTGTTTACGCAGTGGTTTGTTTTAAGGCTGAGGTTATGTGTCAGAATGGGTGCATCGATTAATGCTTTTTTCTCTTAGATTTGCACAATATCTATACATTTGGGTAATGTGAATATATGTAACTGACTTTGTTTAAATGTAATTTACAGTTGATGTAGCACCTACTCAAGTTCATGCCACCATTGTGCCGGCAACAGATAACAGTTGAGTTTCTCATTGATGTTATTCATAATAATGTATATAAATACGAAATAGTTAACTAAGATAATTTGGTTTACACTGGAATGTTTCAATATGTGTGTCTCTAAGAGCAAAATAAGTGCTAAAAGTCAGTGCTTCACAGCCACAGCTGTATTTACCTTCTCTCAAAAGTGTACTGATCACCACATGCCATATTTGGACAATCATTATGAATTAGTTTATAATTCAGGGCATCATATTTACTCTTACGACAAGTGTTTCCTTCAACTGTGTGACTCTCCTTATCCTTTATTATTCTTTAGTTCCTGTTTCCCATCGGTTTCTGCTAAAAACTGAGAATCAGTCACTTCCACTC